CGTCGCACTGTCGAGCGTCGCACTGTCGAGTGTCGTACTGTCGAACCGACGGCAGACCAGCTCCTCTTGGTCGAGGGGAATATGCTTTCTGCACGCCAGCCTGCTTCGGCTCTACTTGACAGGCTGGACTTTGGATATTATTTTTGGGCGGCGCGTGGCGAAACTCGGCGAAAATGCGCGGTGCATTCTTTGCGCGGCTGCTCGAGCTGAGCGCGCTCCGCCTCCTGCAGCCGCATTCCACAGCGCAAGTTCCAGAAATGTGCGCAGCCGCCCTTGCATCACGTCCCCCCCCCCCTCATCGGCGCCCCGATCCGCCCCTCCCCCCGCCGATCGCCCTCGCTCGACACTATCCGCCTTCCGTCTCGGCTTGGCATTGGATTGCCGCTTCTGCCCCTGCCTCTGCTTGTTGCGGGGAAGCAAGGCATCTCACACGCACAGACACTGTGAACGCTGCGGGAAGGAAAGTATAGTACAAAAGTTGCATGGCTTGCAAAGGCGGACGGCGCTACTTGGACGACGAATCGGCCATCTTGCACGCTACGATCTTGACCTTGTCCACATCGAGCAGCTCGGCATTGTCGAGCTTGAGCGTGGCGTTGCGCACACGGAACGTCCACACCTCCTCGCACAGGCGGTAGTCCTTCAAGTGTCCCTGTATATCCAACACCAAAAGTGCGTGTCAGTGCATCAATACGCCGAGGGTTGGCGGGGAAGAAGGGGGGTGGAAGGGGGTTGTTTACCTTGAGTTGGGACTTGGCCTTGACGTTTTTGGCGAGGTTGGTGGCGATGGACTTGTCGAATTCGTTGAGCACGCGCATGGCGAGCACCGGGTTGATGTGTCCGGACTGGATCAGTTCGTCGAGCGCATCCGTGAGCTGCATCCCGATGCTGCATCGCCAGAACCCCGCTGTCAGCACTTGGACCGCAGTCGTTCCGCGTAGAGCGTTTGGAAACTTACGATGAGCGACGGTACAGCTCGTAAAAGAGCTGCTTGTTCGACGACGACATGGCGGCTCCACAACCAAGTAGTCGATGGTTAAGATGCGATTCGGGTTGCAACTCAGCCCACCTCTCAGCCTCGCCCTGCACGCGCGTTCTCAAATTCCGGCCGATACAATCCCCCAGACCTCCACTTTGCGCGCACCGACCAGCACTTTCTCCTCCTCCACCACCACCACCACCACCGCCGCCGCCGCCGCCGCCGCCATGGTTTCTGCACTCATTCTGCTGGCAGAGGGGACGGAGGAGAGCGAGTACACCATCACGTACGACGTCCTCGTTCGTGGTGGTGTCTCGGTCCGTTCCGCACTCGTCCCTCCCTGCGATAGTGCCTACGTCACCTGCTCACGCGGCGTCAGGATCGTGCCTGACATCTCGCTTCCTTGCCCAGCCGAGGCAGTGCGGGAGTACGACGCACTCATCATCCCCGGTGGCGCCAAGGGCGCTGAAACCATCAGCAGCTCCAGCGACGTCCACGCCCTGATCAAGCACATGCACGACGCTGGAAAAGTGGTCGGTGCGATCTGTGCAGGCTCGCTCGCCATCCAGGCGGCCCACCTAGCCCCTGGCGCCAAAATCACCTCGCACCCCTCGGTCAAAAGCCAGCTCGAATCCGGTAAGACCCCCCTCCCCACTCCTCTTCACAGTCCGCGACACAAAAAAAGACTGACAAACGAATGCTGCGTGCGCGGGTAAAGATTACGACTACCGCGAGGAGCGCGTCGTGGTGTCGGACCGACTCATCACGTCGCGCGGACCGGGGACCACATTCGAGTTCGCGCTCGCCCTCGTCACCACTCTCGTCGGCGCATCGAAAGCGCAAGAGATCGCACCACCCATGCTTCTGCCCTCCGTGTGATGTTGCAATAAGCCTTCTACTCGTCCCACTCCTGCTCGTGCTTGGTCCAGTTCCAGCCATCCACGCTGTTGGCGCTGATGCGGTTGATGCTGCTGCTCGAGCCGTTGTGGAGCACGCCGAACGCCGCCGCACCGGGGGCGCCTCCAATGGGCGGCGAGTGCGGCGATGCACTGCGCACCGGCAGCTGCAGCGACAGCGAGCTCCTGCTACTCGACACACTCGTCCTCCCCACCGCATCCGCAGGCGCTAGGTTCGGAGACCGCACCCCTACCGCTGCCTCGGCCCACGACGTCTGGGTCGCTACCCCCTCGAGTCGTATCTGCGGCGAGCGCGAACGCGCCATCGGAGGTTGGGGGGAGGCCGGTTCGTCGTTGCTGATGCCGAGCAGGTCATCGATCGTCATGGCGTTGCCCAGTTTTCGCTCCGCCTCGCGCAGCAGGTCCGACGCATTGTCGCGTGCCTCCCTGAGTCGGCGTGAGAACATGCCTGCCAACCCACCACCTCCCGAGTCGGCTTCGCCCGTCAGCTTGGACTGCAGCTGCGACCAGGATCCCAGCACCGAGGTTCGACGCGACTGCCATGCATTTCCCTCGCGCACTCCCTCCTTGGGCGGCGTGGGTGGTGGCTGTTCGCCGAGCTGTACACTCGGCGTGGCGATCCCGTTGGCATCCACCTTGAACCCCAGCACCGAGCTGTCGTCTTGCGCATGCGCCGCACCGCGCCCGCCCGCAACCGGCACCGCCGGCGAGCGCGGCGAGCGCGGCGAAACCGCCGCACTGCCCACATCCGACCCCTCCTCCTCGAGCACGCCCAACGTCCCCAGCGGTGCAGGCCGCAGACCCCCCTCGTCCACGCGCTTCTCGGGCACCTCGGGCGGCTGATCCATCGCAATGCTCTCGAGCAAACTGTTCAATTGGCTCTTGAGTCCGCCTGGCAGTTTAGCCGAAATCGAGTTCCAAGCCTCTGCCGCCGCCTGGGGCACCCCGACGGGCAGGCCTGCGGTGGAATCGGTGCTATCCGTTCGTGCCAGACTCGGTCTCGTCGTCGAGCTGGACGCACTGCCGTTGCGTCGGTGGGTGGGCGAGGTCCCGTACGCCAGTTCTCGCGTTGCCGTGCGTTGCCACGCTGCACGCAGCTGTTTCAGCTCGACCTCTTCGGCCGCCAGCTCGTCGCGCAGCTCAAAGCACCTGCGCTCCTTTTCCGCAATCAGCCGCAGCAGGTCGCGCGTCTGACCCGTCAGCGCGCCGTTCTGAAGACATGCACGGACCCCAAGGCGTCAGTTCAAGAGCTCCTTCTACACCTGCAGTCCTAGCATATCGCGCACGCGTTCGAGGCGCGCATGCAGGCGCACGAGCACCGCGGTGCGCGCGCGTCTCTGCTCTTGCGTCTCGCGAGTCGGCTTGGCGGCAGCATCGCCCGCTTCAGCCGCATGCTCGTGGTCGTGCACCAAGGCCTCGTAGTCCGGCTCGGCAAGCTGTCCCAGCGAGACGCTGTCGAGCTCGGCGGCGAGCGCGCGCATCTCTTGATGCGCCTCGGCGAGACGCGGATGCGCGAGCAGCGGCAGCCAAGGCGTGGCTGCCGAGTTGGCGGGGCGCATGCGAGCGGTGGCTCGACCCACGGCCTTGCGGGGCGCCGCAGCATCTGCAGACGGAGACGGCGAAGTGAGGAGGAGAAGCGCCGCGAGCTGGCCACGCAGCATGCCCACCTCGCGGCCCAGGGGTGCACCTACCTCGTTGAAGCCCTGGTCAAATCCGTTCTGCAGCGTGCTCAGCTTGCCGGCCGTGATGCCTTCACGGTAGCCCGTCTATCGCACACAAAAGCCAGCTCTGTCAGTTTCACCAAAGCGAGATCAACGTGTACGAGGGGAGAGGGGAAGGGACATACGTCTTGAAACTGCGCTTCGACTTTGGCCGAATCGCGCTGGGCCATTGCGCGTGCAGCGGAGGGCAAGGAGAAGGACGCGTCTTCTTCGGACATTAGCCAGTCGTCCGCATCGCTGTTGGCGCCCGCACTCGCCTGGGACGCCTGCGACGGTCTGCGGCGCGAGGCGTTGGTCGCTCTGCTGATTGAGCCCGTGCGCGTGCGACCGGAAGCGGACGAGGTGGACTGTGCACGGCTCAACTGGCCATCGTCGATCTTGCTTGTAGACGGCGAAGGGATGTACGACAGGCTGGTGCGTTTGCCCCTTCGCGGGGTATCTGGGCCCGCCGATGACGACGCCGACGAAGGCACTGCCGACGACAGCGGCTGCGAAACGAGGTTCAACGGTTTGGGACCCGTAAACGATGTCCTGCGGCTTCCCTCCTGCGGCGCGTCCGAGCGAGCAGGCGAGGCGGCCTCGTTCTGGAGCAGACTGAGACGCCGAGGGAAGGTGTGCCGCGAAGGTGTGGTGGTGGTGGTTGGGGTGGCAGCGGACCATTCGGACTGGTCCATCTGCGGCGTCTTGAAGCTCGACGCCGCACCGGCGGGTTGGTTGGTTGGTGGATCCATGACGAAGCGCAACGCCAGCCAGCTAGCGTGAGTGTAGAGATGCGAATGCGACCGCCGGCGGTGCGTGTGTTGGTGGCAGAGATGCTGGTGGTGAGCAGACAAAGCGTGTGACGCCGCGCAGTGGCCCAACGCAACCCACTTTTGGAGCGGCGTCATCAGCATGCGAGTCGGTCCACCAAAAAGGTGTCTCAGAGAGAGCTTCCGTCCGAAATTCTCGGCGGCTCTCTTTTGCGTTGTTGCTCAATATAGATGTAACATTGTTTAGCCTGCGGCCGAGAAGAAATTTCCCCCCTTCACACCAACTTGGAAGGAGGCTGAGCAGTGTGGTGATCGTCTCGGACAGTCAGCATTTGTCGAGCCCAGATTGGCAGCGACGGCAGCGTTCGGAAGCGAGACGCTGCTTTTGGGCCTTCGCCATCGTCGTCGCCATCACTTCCACCACCCACCCACACCACACACACACACACACACACACAC